GAAAGGAAAGGAAAGGAAAGGAAAGGAAAGGAAAGGAAAGGAGGAGAATGGAGAGAGCAAAGGAGGGAAAAGGGGAAAGGAAAGGGAAAAGGAGTGTAATGAAGAGAGTGCTGGACTAAGACTCTGTGAGACCAGAGTTCGAATCCCCACTGATCCCTGGAAACCCACTGGGTGACCTAAGCAAGGTACACTCTTTTCCCAGCCTCAGAGGGAAGCCATGGTGGCGATTTGCAAACTTCCTTTGAAAGAATCTTGCCAAGGAAACCCCCGGATAGAGTTGCCAGAAGCCACAGTCCAAGAAAGAGCGTGGATTAGCTGCATCCTGGGCTGTTCCTGCGGAGTCCCATCTTCCACTGATAGAGAGCCCTGAATTTCCTCTGGTGAAACGTCAGTGGCACACTGAGGGTCCTCTTAAGCAATAGTCCATGGACAAGCTCTCCTTCATCCCTAGTGGACCTTTGATATCAATTTTATATTAAAAGGGATGTTTGGATCCCGTAGCCACTTAGAGCGTCCCAGTGCGAGGAAACAGTCTACGCAAATATGGAGGCTTCACTTGGATGCGCTGGTGCACATAGACAGGACAGAGCCATTCAGGCTGGAATCGGCATAATCCCTTCACATCGGAGTATGTGTGATGGTGGGCAATGTACCGAGTATTTGTCATAAAGTTGGAAAGGAAAGGGCACTGTCCTCTGGAAATGACACCTCTTTGTCTAAGATGTTTGCATTGATTGTCCAGCCATTTCCACGCATCTCTGGCCACTCTTCCACCTGGAAAGTCCACTCACATTCTTGAGAAACTGCCCCAGGACACAGTCCACCCTATAAATATGCCCGCTTGGACACCTCCAATTTGGTCTTGGTTGGAACCAGGCAGGCGCCCTGTCCGATTTGAGCTTGACCCTTTGGTATTGCTGGACAGCTGTCCGATTTGAGCTTGACCCTTCGGTATTGCTGGACAGCTGTCCGATTTGAGCTTGACCCTTCAGTATTGATGGACAGCTGTCCGATTTGAGCTTGACCCTTCAGTATTGATGGACAGCTGTCCGATTTGAGCTTGACCCTTCGGTATTGCTGGACAGCTGTCCGATTTGAGCTTGACCCTTCGGTATTGCTGGACAGTCCACTTCCCGGCAGCGTTCTGAGCAAGATCCACCTCACAGCCTTCCCTTGACTGGAGCTCCACTTCCGAAATCGGTAGAGAATTGCTCCTCTGCAACCCTCCAAGTTGCTATCTGCTACCACTTTTTTCATTATTAGCTCTAGTCTGCGTTTCAGAGAGATAGAGTGTCTCCATGCGAGTGTCATTTTGTTCTGAATAAGCTAAACCGATTTGGAACCTGGGAGAGTTTCTGGAGTTCTTGAGGTTTGGAACCATTATACGTAGGCTTAGACTTGGCTTTAAAGTTTCTCAAAGCCCTCTCGCTGCTTCCTATTGAGCTAAATAAATTCCCCACTGAAGTCCATTGTGGGTGCCCTCCCAGGACTCTGGCATTTTGGGTAACAATGCTCACTATGGGTAGGGTTGCCATATCCTGGTTTTTCCCGGGACAATCCCATTTCTTCAGGCTCCTGGAATGTTCCGGACCAGTTTTAGGTCCATATCCCGGTATTAATACTTGAGCTGGGAATTGAACTCTGGTCCTCAGAGTTGTAGTCAAAGGCTCATACTCCCAAGCCAATGTTTTTGGCTTTTAGTTTGTCATATCTTCCATTTTTCTTGAATGCCCTACATTTTCAGGTAAATTTTGTCCTACATTTTGTCCCAGTTTTGT